ACCTTCGAATCGTCTGGCTTAACTCGCCTTTTTTAAACCCTAGGAATGGGCACATCAGACTGCACAAGATGCTTCAAGATGTTCAACACCACCCCCCACCACCACCAGGTCTGCTCGCCAGGAAGGGCCAGTTCTGTGTTTTTCGGCAAACAGGTTCCTTTCTGCACCTGTGCCCCTGTGCTGTATACTAGGCCGAGCATCTTTCGGTGTGGGCATCAGCATGGGGATGAAACAAGGCTTTTCCCTTGCTCTCCTTGGCCTGGACCCTAATTTCTGAAGGTAGAGAGTCGTGGAAACACAGCTGCCTTCACATCTAAAGTGGCTGGGAAAGTACAAATATGTGTGAGGAGAGATATTCCAGGCAAGTCCGGGCTTATGTCCTCTTGGAAAGACTGATGCTTTCCGTAACAAATTGCTCTATGCTACACTCACCAAGGAGCTTTTGGTAGGTGGGTTTAGAAACAAACATTCAGGAAAATTAGGAACAATGCTTACGTACCTGCGTGTCACTAAAGATAAAGTTCATGTTTATAAATTGGAGTGTTGGTACCATTTATTGACCCAGAAATAAAGCTGAAGAGATTTGGCAGACAAAGGCAAGGGGGAGAGGTTTGCAGGAAGAGTTACTTGCTGGGTTATAGTCATTCTTACAGAAATGAAAGCTGTGACTTTAAGTGGTAAATTAAAATTAAAACTCTGCTACATAATGGTAGGTGTGTACACTCACTAGTCTTTCACTAATGAGTTCTTTCTACTATCACATAGGAAACAGTTTTGATGGCTCCATTGTAAAAACAGATGCAGACAATAGTTCTTCACTACTTCTCTATTGTATCGAGTCATTACAAATCACTAAAATTCTGTAAGTTTGATTGTTGCATACTGAAACTACACTTTAATGCAACCTAAAAGATTTAAAAAATACGGTAGCAGTTCCTCGCCGACGATATTTTCCTTTTCATATTTTGAGTTATTGTCAAGGATATTCATAAACTAAATGATTAAGCTTCCTGGGGAGTTCAGTGGGTAATACCCAAGGTAAGTGGTTGGGAGGTGCCAGGTGAGCCAGGCAAGCTTACGGTTAATAACCTGGGTCTAAGTTAAACTTGAACCTGAAGCCACTTAGTGGCCCAATTCAAGAAGAGATGGGAGTTAGACACTAGAACCAAAATACATAGTAAGCCTGGTAAAGCCTTTTAAAATACACAATCAGAAATAACAAATGGAAAAACATCCAAATGCCATAGTGATGTCAAACAAGATTTAACTCTTTCTCCCTAAAGATTGTTTTTCAGAAAGTCTGCATTTTTCAGGTATTCCTCATGTCCATCAAATCTTAAAAATCTTCTTTGGCAAAAGAACACATGCTCCTCTGACACACCTTTGGGGCTTATCCCCAAGGAAAAGGTGCATAATGACATTGTAGGATGGCTATTTGTACTAAATATATTAGAAAAATGTTTTATATGCAATGGGAAAGTAATTTGATGCTTAAGACAAAACATTACAGAAAATACAAAAATGGATGGCCAGCCGAGTGGTGCGATGGTTAAGAACTGGCTTGGGATGCCACAGGGCCCCGGTTCGGATCCCACATATGAGGGCCAGTGACACTACCCTCCACAGCTAAGATGCTGAACAACAGCTCAACCTGGAGCTGGGCTGCCCAGAGTCGCCGGCGATGGCATAGGCTGCAGTGAAGCTGCAGTGGGTTGCCATGGGCTACCGTATGTAGCCAGCAGCCAGCATGAGTGGCCAGCAGCCGCAGTGAGCGGCCGTCCAGAATCCGGCGACTGATCTGCCTCGCCCGGGAAGAGCGCAATGATGGTGCCAACTTGGGCCAGTGAAGCAATGTCCTCCACA